GTTTTAGGTAGGCGTGGTTTACTCTTAACTTTTATAAAGAATATCTCTTTGGTTTTGAGACTTTAGTGTTTGCAACTTTACAGATCTTCTTTATGCACCAAGAGCTTGTAACACTCCAAAGAGAAAGGAAAAATTGAAATCGCATCATATGACCCCTTTAAAAAAACCATATGACCTGCTCTTTAAGTCACTTGAAGTTCATTTCTCTTTCTCTCTCTCTCTTTCTAACACAGACACAATCTACACCTTTATGGATAAGCGAGGCCAAGTCTATTTACATTTCCATGAGAACTCCTGCTCTTTATTTGGCTCTGCTGCACAGGCCTCGGGCATAGATGACAATGGCTCCAACAAACTACTTAGTTACACTAGCAGGCTTATAGCATACGTATAGCATTTCCTCTCAAGCCAATAGCTTTATTTACAGAGAAAGCAAAAAGTCTAGCAAACTACAAACAGCAAACCCTGGTATTTACTTGAAGAGTACAGATATCAAACAATCTCCAAGTTCTTGTGTACTTTCTTCCATTTGCATTTCACATGCTGCAGAAAACCCTGACTGATAACCAGTAGGGATTTCATTCAGAGAAAATAAATACTCTTTAACGACTTTTTAACCTGGAATACAAAATGACCAATCCACCGATCCATTCCCTCAAAGAAAACACCCATATCCTCTTGCTCCTTCTAAATGACACAGAAAAAGGTACGTATAGCATTTCCTCTCAAGCCAATAGCTTTATTTACAGAGAAAGCAAAAAGTCTAGCAAACTACAAACAGCAAACCCTGGTATTTACTTGAAGAGTACAGATATCAAACAATCTCCAAGTTCTTGTGTACTTTCTGACTGATCCCTGACTGATAACCAGTAGGGATTTCATTCAGAGAAAATAAATACTCTTTAACGACTTTTTAACCTGGAATACAAAATGACCAATCCACCGATCCATTCCCTCAAAGAAAACACCCATATCCTCTTGCTCCTTCTAAATGACACAGAAAAGGGTAGGCAGAGTCCTTATTTCATTAACTACAGGTCTCTTACTCCAGGCAAGGCTCCTTTTTAAGACGTCAACATTCTGGCATCCATTCAAATCTAATCCACTTAAAAGCAGTTAGCAAAAAGGCACAGACAGACAAGAAAGAGTGTTTACCTTACAAGAGGACAGATAAAAGTGGCGTTACTCTGACAGTCTCTCAGCATGAGAAAGTGAGAGTAGAGGAAATAAGGCGGTGGAGGAGGAGGAAACTCCTGATTATACTGATCTCAGATCAGGTTTGCTGCCTCTCTTGCCATGGATGAGGTCACATGACCTGACATCCAAAACATCCTGCTCCTTCACTGATTACAGTGATTGAATAAAGAAACAAAAGAGTGACGGTGGTACAACCAAACTGAGACAGGCCTCATAGGTGCTAGAGGCTAAAGGCTTTACTATTGACCTGGCCTTTAAAAGCGGTCAGTATAAATCACAGTAATCTCAATTGCTAGGTCTGCTGCAGCACTAAACCGTTTAGAATAGAATATTAAGGGACAACTACATTGTAAAAATTTCTTGTGGAGTAAATATGTTCACTGGTGGTCATGCAATTAAGCTGCATGGGAGGTTGACAGTTGCAAAGGCCGCATCTTTATGAAGTGTCTGAAGCACCCAGTAACTATAAAAGCATCTGAGTTAAAGCTTAAAATTCTGACTAAATTATGCCTGTTCAGGCCCACCTCAGCCCCTATTATGAATACAGTTGTAATTGCTGTGTAAATGCATTTAAGCCACCTCTGAGCAGCATTAAAGAGTCTGAGTAAAGACACCTAAATGCCACTTCAGAAGCTCTTCTGTGCCACCTTTGAAGAGTAAATTTGGCATAGTATAAAAAACAAAGCATCTTTACACAGCCAATTTAAGGCTGCTCTATGCCTGCTTAAAATTCTGTGTAAAGACACAATGCATAAAAGCCAGACTAAATTATGCCTGCTCTGACCCACCTCAGCCCCTACTATCAAAGTGTACAGTTATCATTGCTATGTAACTGCATTTATGCCACCTCTGAGCTGCATTACAGAGTTTGTGTAAAGATATCTAAATGCCACTTTACAAGTGCCTCTGTGTCACCTTTGTAGTGTAAACTTGGCATAATATATGAAAAACATAAAGCATCTTTACACTGCCTGCTCACAAGTCTGTGTAAAGATGCAATGCTGCATAAAAGCCAGGTGCAATTGCTGTGTAAGTGAATTTTTACCTTTGCAGTGTAAATTCGGCATTATTAAATAAAATGACTTGTAAATGCACCCTATAACGTCGGTTTTGCTAGCTTGTTTAATAATTGCAGAAGTTCAGTCAATAAAATGTTCAAACCAATAAAATCACCTCAAGCTCATAAAAATGAAAAAACTATCTGCACACTTAACCACTTGTAAACGTATCAATGTCAAGTGTTATTTATTTACGAGAAAAAAAAAGCAGCAGACACTTTTCAAACAAAACATTTCACAAAAAGAAGGTTGTTAGGCTTTAAGTTTAAGTTTAAGAGTTAATGTGAACTTGCACGCTAGAACACCTGTGTGAAATTGAAGAGAGATGACTTCAAAAACACACTGAGAGCAGATGGTTAGAAACAAAAACGGTTCAGAAGAAGAAAGTGAAGCTAGTTTGAAGACAATTTCTGGCCGCATTTGCTTGGTCTTACATGGTTTAAAGGGGTCATATGATGTTGATATGATATTGGGGTCGCTACAACCCGCGACATCAAAAACAACCGATCTGAATATTTGGGTTGAAGTGTTCTGGAACAGTGTTGTAAATTACAACTTAACCACTGATTTCTAGTCATGTCCTCTTTTCGCTTTCACAACGAAACACAGCGGGCTAGAGTGAGCGGAGGCCGGCGCATGTTATCTAATGCATTTGACAACTGACAATATCACATTTAAAAACAACTGCTTAATTCCCAACCAAACATAAAGGGAAACAAACAGATGGTCTAAACACAACAACAGTGTGCCTTACCTTGAGACGTGATGTTTCCAATGTAAACAACCAGAAGAAGTTATTTATTTTCTTCCCAAATGCCTCTCAGCTGTCGGACACAAACCCCCATTGGCAGGGTCAAAGCTGTGCACACCCAAAAAAAAGGTAGCAGGTGTCACAGAAAACAAGGTAATCCCGTGGATAATGGTGTGAAAGGTGTTTACTGTGAGAGCGCGTGTGCTTGGAGGTTTGGCGAACGCTTTGGAGGACAGCCACGCAGTTGTTTATCTCCAACTCTGCAAAAAGAGCGCGTGGGGAAAATCTGAGGTCACACCTTCCCACCACAGCAGATGCTTGAGTGCTGACCACGTGCTCCCTCCCGGGCAAACGCGCGCAAGTTTCCAAGGTGAAAAGAGGAAGTGCAATGAATCAGTGGATTTTTTTTTTTAAACATTAAATCAGAGCTATTACCTTTATGGTAAAACAAAACACAAAAATACAGCTAACGTCAAAAATGTGTTTATTGTCATTTTTGGTAGGATGTGAAACAAAAAGAAATGTGAAACAGAGACGCCAGGTGTCGCGGTGCAGAACATAGAAGTAGATTAAAAATAAACACTGTCTGTAACGCAGTAAGAATAAATACAAATGAATTAATTTTCATACAATTTCGTTATTAATAAGTCACAGACCAACCTAGAAATATTGAAGCAAACACTGGAAACTCTGGTGGGCATCTGCGTATTGCTACCTGCCAAGAGGCCAGTGTCTCTCCTGGGTAACTTAGCAACAGGTGCTTGTGAAAAAAGTACAGAGAGCACACACACACACACACACACTCATACACACGCACAGGAGGAGGAAAAACACCGTTGGAAAGCAGCATGCTATGCCACCAATAAGATATTCTTATCCCTAAGGTATTCAAAAAAAAAAAAAAACCGGCCGTGAAGTTACTGACAGGTGTATTTTTCTGCCTGCAGGTTGCGTGGGAGTTTTTGTTCAAACGTCTAAACGACAGACAATGTGCTTCTCCTGAGGTGGGATCCTTATTGTTTGAATATATAAATGCAAATACATGAATCTCCATGAACATGATTTTACCTTTATGATCCGGGCAGGTATAGGCCTATAGAATGGGATGCAATACAATGTACAAAATAACATTTCAAACCAAAACTTCTATTCATCAAAGATTCCTGATAACAATGTACAGCACGGTTTTCAAGACTGATACAAATAAGAAATGTTTCTCGAGATTCAAATCAGCATATTAGAATGATTTCTGAAGGATCATGTGACACTGAAGACCGGAGTAATAATGCTAAAAATTCAGTCTTGCCATCACAGGAATAAATTACATTTTAAAATATATTAAAATAAAAAACTAACCGTAATATTTCATGTCAATGCAGCTTTGATGAGCATAATATTTCTTTCAAAACATTAAATAATTTTACACGTGTTTTTTTTTAAGCTGTGGTTTTGAATGTTTATTAATATATGTGTGATTGTTGTGAATTTTATTACCCAAACAACCTTTCAATTTCAAAGTATTTTAGCTATTGTAAAAAGCAAGTGAACCCAATAAAACCACACTGGAATACATTCAGCGAAGTCAAAATTGATTATGAACGCAGACTTTAAATGGAAAGTTAAAATAAGGGTAGTTTTTTTTTCATGAATTTCTATTGTGGAGAATGTTTTAATGCTTAAAACATTAAAAAACATATTTGTTGACCACAAGAACTGACTGATATTTTGAGTATAACTCCATTACATATTTCATGATGAATTGTTTTGTGTTATAGTTTTATTGTTTATATTTGAATATCTGTTTCAACATGCCCGAACAATTAACTTCTTTTTTTTTTCTGGGCAATAACTGTGAAAACGTCAATAGCTGTTTTCAGTCAAAACTTTTAAGTTATGTCTTACAGAAACTGACTATGGGAAATAAAAAAAAAAGTGACAAATGCAGTTCTAACAATAAATAGCTTGATTAATAATTACTCATCTGATAAAGTAGAAAGTAAATGATGAAATGTCAGCCTTGCGTTCCTCAAGTAAACTGGCTGCGGCAGCAATCAAATCCATTATTGACAGAAAATACAATTAGTTACATCCAGATGGCCTTCAACAGAATAGAGTGCATCCGTCATGCCCTCCACACAAAACCATCCACTTCAATTTCTGACTTGTTCTATAGCAAACCGAGAATATCTTGCTTTCCATTTTCCACTAATGGATGTTACGTTGTTTTATTATTAACCTTGATCTGTAAGATTAGAGTCAAATAACAATTTTAGATTAAATTAATGTTATCATGAAGCAAGAAAAAACTGAACCATGAAATTGTTCTTTATTAAGAAAAAACACCAACGACAAAGTCAGTTTTCTCAGATTTTATTCAGCAAAGCATGTGCCTACAATATCTTACAAACAGAACAAAAACAGAGGGATTGTTCTCATACAAACAGGTCAGCAGGTAGAACATTTACAATCATGCATCATGACGAGTCGAAGGGCTCGCGACGCCTCTCACCAACACGAGGAATCCGGCGAGAGTTTGCGCCGCAAGTTCAGACAAGAAAAGGACCTTCTACCACTTACAAATACACTTCACTCAAATGCTACGAGCCCAAAGGAAGGACGAGGGGGAAGATCAATATGATCTGAGCATCAGGTAGCATCCATGGAATTCGTTGTCATTTGCCATTGTCCTCCAGCAGCACTGAAAGGCCAACTTTAATGAGCACAGAAATGATGCATTATGAAGCAGAATGCTCTCGCTATCAGAAAGGCTCCTACAGCCATCAGAACGGTTTGAACTCATCTCACGATCCCAAAAAGAAACTAGACGTGAGCAAAGGTCTCAAAAAAGCACAAACGCATCAGTCGAACGTACAAATAAACGTCCCAAATGCAAGATATTGCTATTCAAAAGAGGTTTCAAAGCATCATATAGCATTTTTTTTTCTAACTCGAAAATCTATCAAACTAGTTATTGTAGGATGGATTTGGCGAGTAAAACAAACAAGTCTTTGCTCGTATGCATCAACAGAAAAAGCACAAATGAATTCCACTCTCTCAACTGCAAAACTGCAGTTTTGACTCCGAATTGGATATGAAGTGGGGAGGAAGTCAGTGTGAGCAGTACATGCTCAAAATGAATATAGCAGGTTGAACCGAAGGAGGAAACGGGTCAAAGACAGTGTGGCGAACATGGGTGAGACAGTGCAAAGGCACATTAGTGGTTGGATGCTTGTTTATTATGGGCTTTAATATAGGGCGAAAGAAGGGGAGTACTGATGAACCGTGATTGATGCAGCGGGCTGTAATTAAGCAAGGCATGATGGGGAAATGGGTTTGTCGATAAAGAGCAGTGAAATTTTGTTGGTGGAGAGGACAAAGATGCTTAAAAGCCTGAACTAGACAGAATGGAGGAGGAAAGCACTCTCTCGTAATACGTCTCATGCGATATGACGCATGATATGCATTTCATTGGGTGGAAATGAAAACCTAATGACAGTAAGAATAACTAAATAAGGTTTGGAAGCCAAAAAGATAGGTCAGATATTGCACTAAGATTAAAACGAAACAGAGGCATTGCTTAAGTATCAAATGAGGCATGAAACGAAACAATAAAAAGGCAAGAAACACAATGGATGAAGGTAGAAATGGTTTTGTAAAAAACAAAACTGGAAAGTAATGTGATTACAAAAAAAATATCTACAATAATGATTTACAATTTTTTAAACGACAATGTTAAATGTACAAGAGATTGATGCTGCATCACTGCTGTTAATTTGCTGATTTTACAAATATATTCATTTGAAGTGTCCAGAAACAGAGACATGAAGCCCAAAGCCATTAATCATTGCATTCATTTAGATTTCAACACACAAATCCATCGATCCAAGAACAGGCATTTTATCTCGACTCACTAACGTGGTGACATTCTGAGTAAGATGTTTGTGTTTTTATTTGCTTTTAAAAGGAATTTATTCAAGCGCTGTGCCAACTTCCACTTGGGCATCTCATTTAAACACGTTCACAATAAAACCAGCGTGGGTTCGATGATAAAAGAAGCGTGTCGTACAGAAGCCTGCTGTCATCTCTAGTGGAACTCGTCCAAAGATCATGACCAGCAGGTTGATTATGGTACATGGCAGAGATCCATGCATCTGCCCATCCTCAAAGAGGAATCAAAAGAAATGCCACTGCAGAATCTGCAATGGACACATATGAAAGGGTCGGTTAAGACAAAGACACAAGAGGAATGACAAGGCAAAGGTCACCTCCAGAGAAATCAAATGTCATAGTAAGTGATCTGATCAAGAACGCAAAGAGCGAGCGTGAAAAGGGATCAGATTTAGTGGAGGTGATATTCCCCATCGGAACATTTCAAGCCAAACACTGTCCTCTGTTGATACTGGATATACTGAACATTGACAGGATGGCACAGGGTGCAGGGGGAAGCTCAGGCAGACTGCTTCTGTTCTGAATTTAAGAGTCCTATCATTATTTACACAGTAGATACAGGCACTTAAAAGTCTTTGGTTGGAGTGACCCAACATTGCAGAGTAATGCATTCACAGAGCTTTTTTTTTTTTTTTGCACCCTTCTCTTGGGTTCAGTAGGCAACATGTAGTTTTCTCCCTTCCCTTTCCGATATATTCGGTTCAGATGTTCACCAACCCCCATTTATCCCGCAGACAAGGCCACCTGTGAAATAAACAGGCACTTTTAGCATTCAACTAGTACACATGTTTGTTGGGAGCTGGATGACGACATCAGCATGTCAGCAACTGCACAACTTCTCTATCACACAGATCTCATATACCAAGTCGTACCTTTTCTGGACAGAAATCTGGGTTGTTCTGTCGAACTTTGCCAGGCCTGCCCTTGATGACTGCATAGCAGAACATTGTGATGACCATCACAAACAGGAAGTAGCTGGTGTGCATGAGGTGCAGGTTAATGAGAGAGCGATCGTCCTATCAGGAAAGAGAGCGCACTCTTGAATTATAGTGACAATTTGACAACCTGCACAACACAACTTGCCTCTTTGTTAAAATGTACAAAAAAATAATAACAAGATAGTTCATATTCTGTAGTAATTCAAAGTGATAAATAGTGAATATTTGTGAACATTACCCATATGGTTACAGATTTTTTTTTCTTCTTTTTTTTACTGGCATCAGTCTGATTAGGGTGATACAGTAAAATTATATCACTTTTTAATACAGGTATATTACAATGTGAATACTGTATTTAAAAAAGTATATATTTACATATCACTATAAAATAAAATAAAAAATAAAATTCACCACCACTTCACAAAAACTCACCAACACTTTGCTAGTGTGTTGTGGATGGTTCACAGAAA